AGATATATATATATATATATATATGTATGTAAGTAAGTCAAAAGGCTCAAGTCCAAGTGAAGTCACAAGTCACTGATGTTAAAGTCCAAGTCCAGCTGCAAGCCTTTTTTGATTTTGTCAAGTCGAGCACAAAGTCATCACATTTATGACTTGAATCTGACTTGAGTCCAGGTCATGTTACTCGAGTGCCCACGTCTGGTACAAAGCTGCCAGGGAGCCAAAGTACGAGAAAAATGACACAGGCGCCTCTAAAAATGTACAAATACTAAATAATAATCACTCAAAATATTGTCATAGAACAATTCAAGGTTGTAATGAATATTTTCACTTTTATACACACAAATACAGCAGAAAAATGTAAGAAACAAAACTACAATACAGTCTATTTACATGTAAACTTATTTTATCCCACCTCTTAAAACACTAGTATTTTATTGTTTTATAAATTTCCTTCAAAAGATGCGTAAAAGCCTCACATCAGCACTTCTGACTGTACTTTGCACAATGTATAAATACATTTATGCTAATATAAATAAAACATGCTTGATAGTGTATTCACCAGTGAAAAGACAGCTTCAGTGAACTGATGAACAAATAAAAGTGCAACATTAGTGAACGAAAAAGAGCCACCTTGGGTCACATTTGTAAAACTCACAACTCACCTCACACACAGACAGTAGGCCCCCTGCATAGTCTCGCTGTCTCTCAGCAGAAAGCTGCCATCGTGTCCAAACCGTTCCAGCAGCCTCTCTGTGGCCTCGCTTCCAATTCTCCCGTAGTAAATAGACCATACCAGCATCCCCTCCCTCTCCATGTTGCCTGCAAGATGGGCACCTGTGTGTGTCGAGGGTTGGTGAGGGTGCAGCAGGCTGCAGCAGCAAACGAGTGTGTGAGAGACTGTCAGGCAGGAAAAGCTCTTCTGGTTTTCACACTTTTCTGTCATGCAGCTGCACCTCGCATGTCTGTGCACTTTGACCAAACCAGAATAATGGCTTTTATCTGCTGAATGTGAAAGTATATTTTTGGCTCCACTTTGCTTTTTACATTTTTACATTTCCTGCTTTGCAAGTCACAAAAGAGAGAAATACTCTCAAAAAATGTGATCAATTGCTCAGTCCCGCTCAAGCATTTTGCCCTCTAATAACGCCTGTATTATGAAATTAAATGAAATATTGTCTGTAAGGCTCTGACAGCAATAGCTTTATCGTACCAGGATGTGGTGCAGACAAACACTATTGGGATTTAATAGCTTTGTGAAAGTGGTTTTTAACAAAGTCTGAACAACTTCCAGCAAACAGAAATGTGCTTACAGCAATGTCCCCCCCACATTAACCACCAGCCAACTCACCCACACATGCACGAAAAAAAAAAGACATCCAACCGAGTTAGTTGTGGTTTGATTTGACGCTGTCAGCAAAGCCAAACAAAGACAAAAAGTATTTCAGAGCATAAATGTTGTTTAAGTGGTTTCATGAAGTCTCAGACTCAGCTAGCAAGAATTCAGGCAGAATTTAAAAACATCCAACATAAGTAGTTCAAACTGAAACTATTAAGTTATGTGAAAATATTATTAAAGGTACAAAAAGTCCTTTTGAAACAGAAGTTAGAGTGTCTTTAGCTTCTGTGCAGTGACATATTTCCCACTAAAGCATCCTACAGACTGAGATTTTAGCAATCATATAAGATCAGTGCGGTTACACTGGGCAACATGGATTTAATAAACCTGGGTACGACATCAAGTTTAATGTATGCAAACTGTACGATGGCAGCACCTACTAAATCGTATGGAGGTTTTTATTGGACCTTTTTATTTGTAACCCACACAAGACAATCTACAAACATGTACCATGATCCACAAATGCTTATACCATTATACAAACTACATTTGTGTTGTTTAAAGTCATATCCACAAAAGTACAGCGTGATTTGCAAATGCACATAACTTACTCTGTAAACACGTACTTAAATTACACATACAAATGTCCAGGTATTACCAACATAAAGAGTTTCGCCATAGCAACTACACATGGAGTCATATTTATACATTTGTGGATCTATTTTTACACGTGAAACTGGATTTGCACATTTGTGGATCGCTTCCTGTGAGTTTGCGGGTCATATGACATTTGTGTCTTCGCATAATTTTGTCCAATTCCTACTGCAGCAGGATCTGTAAAAAAATATATGTGTGAGGTGCAGTTACTTGCCACATCAGCAGGTGGTACCTGTCATGCAGAACAGTCCATTTCAGATCAAATAAAACTACTGATGCATTAATGTGTTTATCACTTTGATGTTGAGGCTGGTAAATGTGGGGCTTTTTTGCAGGTAGCAGGGAAGTCTTTTGTTCGTTATTTTTTTTTATTATTAGTCTGAATCTGCAGTTTGCAGTGGTGGTGGAAGGTAACGAAGTACATTTACTCTCAAGTACTGTACTTAAGTATAACTTTGATGTAATTGTTCTTTGAGTATTTCCATGTTCTGCTACTTTGTTCTTCTCCTCCATGTTCTTTTCTCTACCCTACATTTATTTGATACATTTAAATACTAGTCAAACTACAGATTCACACTCACACTCGTTAACTGCTAACTAACAGATTCATTTTTAAGGAAAAAAAAACAGAAATAGAAGCCTTCATTGACTCTGTGAGCTTTAGGGCTGCATATCAAAGCAATAACCATTCAGAAATGGTAAAACTATAATGTTTTCCGATGTAAATGTTGCCTTTTATTTTATTTTTTGTTGGCTTTGCTGACAGACAGCCAGCTAGCCACGTTAACATGAGGAAACATAGTGCCCACCATCCAGTCTCCACTGATTAGCTAGCGTTAGCCTTGGTCACTCTGCAGCACGCATCACCCTGCCTCTCAGTCAGTGATTACCACTAGTTAAACCCATCCAGGTGATGGCATGACATGCTGCAGTACATGGTGGCCACCCTTTGGTCTCTATCCAGGTAGCCATGGTGAGTAAGTGGCTTCATTTTCAGCTGCTAAATCCCTTTGGCACTGTTAACTCTGTTAGCACCACTAGATGTGCTGTCACTGCTAACGGCACTAACAGAGCTAACAGTAGTTAACCATGCTAAAGGGGATTCATGGCTCAAAATTGAGCTGCTTTCTCACCGGGGCGTCCTGCAAGGAGACCAGGGCTGTGTCCGAAATAATTCACTCCCTACTCACTACATAGGGAGTTCTATGTAGAGGACTGTAAAGTGAGCTAACCTGCCACATGAAAAAACACTAGGCTCATTCAAGAAGAGCCAGGCCTGCGCAGAATGAGCGCGGCCTCACTCTGAAGTCGTCGAAATCTGGCGCTTCGGCAGTAACTTGTGGCATAAGAAACCAATGAAAACAGGCGTCCTTTTAACATCGGCACAATAAGCGGCTGGTTGTCATTATAGTTTAACGGCGCCCAACAGCATCAGGGGGAAATGCAGCTGGACAAGGACGAAAGTTAACATGGCTATCCAAGTGGAGCAGGCAGGAGGGGTGGTGGATGGGTTGACTTTCACCTGAGAGAGAGCGGTGTTCATGTCCCATAAGATTCCTCTTTTTTCTTAAACCTAACCATGTGTTTTTGTTGTTCAGGGAAAAAAGCGTCAATTGGCGGTGTTGTACCGACATGGTGCATTTACTTTGAAAGAGACTGTATGTAAACGTTAAATTTCCTGTGAAAACAGAAGTTCATTTTGAAAGAAGAGAACATCCAGTCCCAGAACATCAACAACCAACATGACCAGGGTACCTTGCATGTCATATGTGGACATGGAAAGTCCGTGACCAAAACATCAATATGTGACGAGGTCAGACTGAGAGTGTTGGCAGAAACGATCACTGCCGATCGCTGCACAGAGTATGCTGGTTAGATTTGTGTCTGACTTCATCCCTACTTGCTCTGACAATTCTTTTTACAACTAGTAATAATGGTTAACAAAACACCTTGCCAAAGGACTGCAGTTGAAAATTAGCCTAATGACAAACGCTGGCACATTTACAGAGATGTTGATTAATGTGCAATGTCCTTTTAAATGAATAAATTAAATGAAAATGATGTCATGCAAAAGTGAGCAACCATATTCTCACGAGATCGAGTTGGCTGTAGTTTTTGGGCCAGACGCTGCAGTTGCCCTCCACCGACTGCAAAACCCAGGGCGTGATGGGAAACGTCAAGCTCTCACCTTATCTATCCCAGCGAACATTTTTCAGATGGAAAGATGTTTAAATAACATCTATGGTCATTTGAGGACGTTGATTTAATGGTTACATTTACACCATATTTCACTGGGATTTGCAACAGCGAAATGTTTCATCCTCAACGGTGTGCAAATAACTGTCTGTTATCATTTCGGAGCTTAACAAAGGATTCACATCCAAATTTCTCAGTTGAGAGTCATCACCATGATCGATTTTTAAACACCTTTTAAACCTCAAAATGCTATCTAACTTGCAAGCTAGGACTACTGAGTCACCAAACCTTCTGATTTTATTTTGTGCTAACAAAATAAAAGAGGTGTTGGTTTACTTAACACCAAACGTGTGACCACAGTGACGATGAGGGAACCTTTAGGTGCTGGTTGTCTGGATGCACAATCTCCACAGGCTCCGGTAAGATGGGTAATAAATCCAGTCCACACTCATCGACATGCCACTCCTTAATCGTTGGATGTGATGTGGTTACTACAACAGAGGGAATAAACAGAGAACATTTACATTTGTTAATAAAATGCAGCAATAATAAAAATAAACAGTGTGGCATGAAATACACAAGGCAAAAATAATCATTACAAAGATGAATAAATGAGAGTACTGCCCTCATAACTGTAAAGGGAGTGTTAACATGGAGCAATCTTAGAAGTATGGCTTTTTGGTGGGCGGGACTTAGCTGGAGGCAAAACAATTCTCCACAGACATTAAGTAGTGCTAGCTAGCAAGTTCTGTTAGCTTGTTTTAGACAATGGAGGAAGATGATGCGAATGGTGCATTCAGAAATATTCATTCTGAGTGCTGGAGCACACTCTGGCACAAACTGGACTGTTTGTCAATTCGGGGTGCTGTCTGAATGTGCCGTTCAGTTATCCAGAGCACCGCACTCTCAGATTTGCAAAGTGCACTCTGGGCACTCTGTCTGGGGAGATGGAGGAGCAGAACGCCATGTGGAGTGAATATGTGGTTAACTTAAATGTTTATTAAATAGAAATATAATGCTCCGTTTCTTCGACCAACAGGGCCCTCATTTTAGTGTAGAGCATCAGACTGAATTTACAAACGCACCATGTCAGGTCACTCACTCTGGGACCGTGAGTGTTACTTGAATAAGTAAACACTGACCAACGGGACCAGACTGGCCGACCCGTATGCTCTGGCTGACCCGTATGATGTCACAGGAAGCTTTGTGGTCGATTACTATGCCAGTCTTACAAAGGAAGACGACACTTGAACGGTTTCCTCAAGTTTGATTTGCTATCAAAGCTAACATTAGCTAATGCACTAAAAAGTTAGCGTTATGGAGAAATCCAATATTCCTCTTAATACCTCCCCAACTTCTGATGAGGTGGACATGATAAGCCTTAATATACATAACGTCATTCATCCCTACAACAGGAAATACTTTTTCCCTAACCTGATATCACGTGAGTATTTTTGATGATCGCCTCCGTCCAGTCCTTTGGTCTTATCACATTTAAAGTTAACCATCGTTGTCTTTGTTTTTGTTGATGGACAGTGGCGGCTGGTAGCCTATGTGATCAAATTTAAGTTTTGAGCCATGACTCCTTCTATTCTGGCTCCCAATAACACAACAAGATGACATGTGAGGACTCCGATGTAGCCTACAGCCCTGTGGTGGACCAGCTAAGAAACTGACGCCATTGTGACGTCTGCCCATATCCATTACTACTGCGCCAGTGCACTCAGAGGGTAAACTAAATAAGTGCAGGACCGTCCCTTAGCAGACGAGTCAGAGCGCTCACTGTGCTCCTATAACACAGCAGTGTAACTAATTAAACAACATAAAGGATCATATTACAGAGAATGAAAGTTACAGTATAATAACGATAAATTCTTATGGACACACCGAATGATAAACCAGGTGCAAAAGACTCCAGACAAAATGCAGCATTGATGAAATCTTGCCATGTGAATTCAGTTAGCAAAAGCCACAGACTTCAGGACTGTGCATGTGGACAGTGAATGTTTAGGACACAGAAATACAGTACATACACACTGGAGTAAAACTGGAGAAGATTTTATTTAGGAAACTGTGACAGTTGACAGAAATATGAATACTCAATTACAGATTCAATACTCCATTCATTTCACGTATCCTCTTGAGGGTCGCAGTGAGGTTGAAGCCTATCCCAGCTGACATGGGGCAAGGGGCAGGATAAACCCTTGACAGGTCACCAGACTATCACAGGGCTGAGACAACCATTCACGCTCACATTCACACCTGCAGCGGCCAGATACTTCCAAAAAATACCTCAGTATTGTAACAAAGTATAATTACTATGTTACAGCACAACTTGTCATGACGCACCACTATGTTTCCTCAGTAGCCCAGAGTGGACAAACCAAAACAAAGGCTCCAGATAGGGCCATTTGTGTTATCAGCCCCTCCACGATGGGCAGTATCAGAAAAACGCTATTTTTTTTTTTTTCAACATAAAACGAGGAGGCCGAGGACGAGGAGACCTATGTAGATAATTTCCCCTAGTAAAAACCTCCTGAACATCTGGATTTTAGGTAATCAGAGAAAAAAAGTGAGCACACATTAGCAGGTGCTAGGCTAACAGCCATCTCTGAGATGCCTGACGCACGCTCTCTGTCTGCTGGTGGAAATGTGCTCACCTGTGTGTGTGTGCGCGCGCACCTCGGGGCGCAACCTCACCGTGTGCGATGCAGAGAGCAGAAGAGAATTGTAAACACGCGACGATGTAGAGACAGAAACGACATATTGTCGTGCAAACAAGGGGGGATAATAAAGACATAATGCATAATAAGCTCCTCTTTTTTACCACCTCCTCCTCCTTAGTTTCTGGCCTCCAGTGAGTTGATGGCTTGAAGCTCTGCAGAAAACCTCTCGCCCAGATCTCTGTTGGCCTGCAGGAAACCACCCAGCCTCTTCAGCTGCTCAGCATCCTGAGGAAGAGACAGGGTTGGTCAAAGTCACATGACATCTTTCTTTATATGTGTCATTTATAAGTGAGCAAGTGAACATGGACATATTTGTTCTCCACACCTGCGTCTTTGTATCATCATCAGCACCATGCAGTAACTCCTGCAGACTCTCTCTTAGTAGCTCAGTCTCCCATTGGCTGATTAAGTCGGCGCTCGTCTCCCATTGGCTGACAGAATCCGACTCTAATCCATCCAGGCCAGCAGAGTCAATTCGGTCCAAACCAGAGACACATATTGACAAATCAACGGTCAGCATCTGGACGAACAGAGTACACATGAACACAAAGTGTGGCGCAAAACAACACGGATGCAGCTGGGACTTCCAAACACGGGACGCACTTCAGCAGCAGTGGCACACACGCAGACAAACATGCTCACCTCCTCAATCTGTCGTCCAACTGTTGCCATCTCTGGGATGTGGCTCAACTGCTGCACAAGATTTTTCACTGCGGTCTGGTACCGCCTCATCCATTCGTCCGTCACACGCAACTCACAGGAGTGCATCAAGTCGTTCCTAAAACGGATGACCTGGAACCGCACAAATGAAAGAGAACCACACATTATTTTAGACGACAACTTTATAAATTTTTAAAAAAGTGTAAGCTTCTTTCAACCTGTGTATATTAGGGCTGCCCCCACTATGAATTTTCTTAGTCGACCAATAGTTGTCATTTAGGGCCATTAGTCGACTCGTCAAATGTGTAATAACCGCAGGCCACCTTAACAAGCATCGTGTAGCCTATTTACCTGAAATCCTGAGTGCAGAGCTGATCTTCTTCCAGGCGCTGTTTATAAGTGTGTAGGCCTATCAACTGTGGGACAGATGTAAAGCTCTGGGTAGCCCTGCACTAACATGATCAACTTCTCCATATTTATCAGAATGAATATTTACAGAAGAAGAGAAAGATATCTGTCAGCTGTGATTGGTTTGTAACCTGACTCCTGTCTGACTGCCGAGCGTGGCCACTTCCCGTGTTTGTCCAAACAAAAGTAGCATGGCATGCCCATTTAGACAATATGACTATTTACCTCTCTCACAAATTTTGGATCCCCGTAGCAGAAACAGTCGCAGTAGTTGATTAGGTTGAGCAGAGCTGAGGCATCACATTGATCTGCACTCTTCAGTTTCCCCTGACCTCGTGGCATGTAGGCCTGCAGAGCGACAGAGAGAAGAGAGACACCTTCATCAGACTCACACATTCAATCTTCAGATCCTTCTGAGAACTTTCCAGTCTGTTTTAGTGTCATAGCACGATGATGTGTGCTGTTAGTCAGTGTTGGGGGTAACGAATTACAGTAATGTATTACATTTTACCAGTAATGGAGTAACATAACGTTATCGTTCAATTTTCAAATATCCAACATTCCTTGGGCACACCATGTCCAACAAACACAGCTGTAAGAAAAAACACATGACCAGATCTGAGCTTAAAACAGTGATGCGTCATCAGAATCACTTTATTTTATGTTTCATTTCACATTTTGCATGAAATAAAATATTTTCACTAGAGCTGACAAAGAATTTTCCTAGTCCACCAACAGTCGTCATTTAGGGCCATTAGTCTGAGAAAGAACAGTATAAGTAACATTGTAATGACACTGTTGGCAAAGTGGCTAAAGCCTAGTTCACATTACACGATCGTAATCTTTTGAGTGTTCTGGCGAGTGGCGACCTGTGTGTGCACACCACAAGATTTCTCCACCGAGCCCTCGCCGACAGAGCCCCAGATAACGCGGTGATGTCACCAAACTTGGAGACGACACATCGTAAAGACATGGATATTCTTCCCAGTGTTGAATCAAATCTGCCTGCAGGGCCTGGGTCCAAACACAACGTGCTCCCCGTGATCCTGTGGACACCGCCATTGTTGTTGTTGCTTGCCAGCTTGTCAGTGTTGCCAGATCTTGGGAGAGAAACAAGCAACCAGGGCTATGGAAACAAGCCCAGAAGAAGCGACTATCATGCCTTTAAATAACTTATTAGATGGATATAGAGAAAGGTGACATTTAGAGAGCAAGCCCAAATAAGCAACTCTACTTTAGAAACAAGCCCAAAGTTGCGGCTAATAAGCGGACCTAGCAACCCTGTGGCTTGTCCTTCTCACATTTCTTCCCTCCTCCTGCGTGCTGATGTGGGACGTATCCCGTCTCTCATTGGCCGATGCTCTTTGTCAGTCGTGTCACACTTCTCCAGTTTTCTAGCATGCCAGATGTCCAGTCCCAGTCGCAGACGAGGGGGTGACTTGCTCGTCGGCTTGTTCACACATGATCATGGCAGACTATCTGCCGACTCACCTCCGACCCAAAGTGGCTCTCAAGATCCTCTGCGACGTCAAAATCTCGGTGAAAATCATGTAATGTGAACTAGGCTTAATGGACATGTAGCTACTTCCATGTTTCAGATGAAACAAAATTTGTGGCCGAAGCCAAAGCCGAATAATATTAAACGCTTGGCCGAATACCGAGTACCGAATACCGACTATCGTTGTTTAGTTTTCCATTAGTTTTTGCAAATGAACCAGATTAGTGTTGTCACGGTACCAAAATTGGATCCCACTGCACGATATCAGTGAAAGTATCACGGTTCTGAGTAGTATCACGATACCACAGCGTAAATGAGGCAGATGTGCCTTTTGTCATTTATAAAAAGATAAATCACTTTTCTATAATACATCAATGATATTTCAATGCAATAAATTACTTACTGACTTATTCATACTTCAAAAACAGCATCAATAAGTGATGAACATAGGGGGGATCAAAATAAAATAAATAAATAAAATAAGAACCAACCAGCCACCCTCCTCCCCTGACAAGTAAAGAACAGTCCCTAAAGTGCGGTGAGGTTTGTGGGCCGTGAACGGCTTGTTTCTCCTCTGACATGTCACATACCTGTGTTTGGCTAGCTCAGCTGTTCAGGTACTTCTGGGCAGTCCACACGCCAAGAAGAGGATATTATTGGAGCCGACTTCTCCATCGTCGGTAAGCCGATGGCCGCCATATTTGACAGGAATACATTACTGTCTGTGTCTGTGACCCCCATTCAACCCACAATCGGTGGGATTCGCCTTACGTTTCTGCTGCTGGTTGAAATCTGTAGGCTGCTCGCACAGCGTGCTGAATGATTTAAGCATATTTTGCTTGCTCAAAACTATTTTTAGTCACAAATGCGAGTGCAGTGAGAAACGGATCGACACACTGCAGACATTTTACACCACACGTCACAGCACACTGTTTGATTGCATTATCAAAACACGCCGCTATTATTCGGCCTTGCTTTTAACTTATTCCACCGAATACCGAATGTGTGTTTTTTGCAATATTCGGCCGAATATATTCGGTTACCGAATATTCGGTGCATCCCTACTCAAAATGATCCCACGCTTTGGATTTCCTGCCTGACATGTTATTAACTAGCCTGTGTAATAACAGCAGGTACCAGCCCTGGAAATTAGTCAGACTCCTGTCTGACTGCTGAGCATGGCCACTTCCTGTGTCTGCCCTTTCAAGTTCAATTCCCACATGGTTCACTCATATAAATTTTGATTTATTTTGACAAGGTGCAGCTCCTTAAAGAGTTTCACATTTTTTGTTTTGTTTTTGCAACTAAAGTTGTTCTCACCAAACACTTTCAGTATGGTACCTTTGGATCCAAAAGTAACCATTCAGACATGGTACCTAGACCATTGGTCCGCTTAGCGTTTCCACCACAAACAGTACTCTAACATGTGGGCTGGGTTGTTGTCACTCACTGCTCCATCCAGCCCCCACTGCATTTCTTCATCACCGGTAACACAGATGGAAGTCTGCACCTCATTTATCGTCCACAGAACGAGGCTGCACGCCGACATTTTCAGAACAAAATAAAACAGGCTGCCATATCCCGACGCTCTGCAATGCTATTTTTTTCTCCAAGGGGAGAATTAAAACGTATTCTGTCACTTAACCCGACCTAAATTAATATTTATAAACGCTTGAAGATCCACTCATTATTAAAAGTGTCTGTCTAAAGTGATGGTCAAAGTTGTCACAGTGAAATTTAAGGTGTGTTGATGGATTACATCTTCACCTCATGCATTGAGTAACATTACAAGTTGATGTTCCACCTTAAAAGTTGCCGGCAGTTGGCCCAGTGAATTAAGTTAGTAAAACATCCTTTCATTTTATAGTTATAGTTTACTAACTAAACTCTCCACAGTATGAACAGTGGTTACATGAGCCTCACAACCAGCCACAGCTCAGCCCTGAGCAGAGTGACGTCCTCTATTGACCAATCAACAGACTGCAGTGTTCACAGCTCCACCTTTTAGTACCAGATCTGTGTGCTAGGTACCCCAACAGAGGGGGGACCAAAAATGGGAATAGTATGGAACTGTTCTATTGGTACCATCCACAACTTTTCACAGTGGAAACAGGAAAAAAGCGTACCGTACTACTTGGTGGAAACAGGGCTTAAGCGACCAATGAAATCTCGCCAACTAATGACGTCTCTGATGGACTAATGTTTGGTCGACTATTAGGGGGCAGGTCTAAATTTTATCAACTAACCAGCATGCATAACAAGAGTTAAAAACCAAGGCTTTTTTCAACTTCAGGACTTCAGCCTTCAGCTCTTAACTTTTTAAACATCAAAGGGTACATTTTAAAAACCTAACACTCGGGGTGGCTCAAAAAAAAATATTTGTGTCTTCAGTGAGGGGATAAGTAAATAAGTCAACAGTCCCTTCCGTGAAGTGAGTGTGTCTTCAGTGGCGTGTACCTTGGCCAGTTCCCAGTGATCAGTCCTCCAGTTGGGAGGGAAACAGTTGTCCCAGTTCACTGTGGCGCCCGGCTGTCTGTGGTGACTCAGGATCTCTATCTGCCACTTTGAACACACCTGGCAGGGTGAGGAAAGCTACACACACACACAAAGTAATGCATCTTATGCAGGAAGTTACAGTGAGAATAAGTGGTAAATATTACAGTGATTAATATAATATAGTCGCAGTAAGCTCATAATAACTGAGTCTCTTTGTGGGCCCACATAAAAGATACAACAGGAGATCCACACTGAAGTGCTGCAGAAACGAAGTTTACAGGCTAATTTCACCTTATTCCCTCTGGGTCTGCATGAAGTCTGACATGGTTTCCGTAGCAGAGGGTTTTTATTGAGCAGATCTCCGTGGAAAGCTCTCATGTTGCGGGCGATGAAGGGATGCAGCCCATCCTTGAGGATGAGCAGACACCGTCCAGCCTTCAGCCAGTTCTTATACTCCCTGTCGTTCAGACGGGTCGCCAGATCCTCATGGACCATGTCGGATTTACTTCCCGATACAAACACCCAACAAAGGGACAAGTCCAGGCGGAATCCTCATGCTTAGCTCCACCCTCTCGGTGCGAACCACACAGCGACCACGAGATGGCGCTGTCTACCTGAGAGACTCCAGGATGTGGCTGGTTACTGCTCCTGCTGGTCCAAGGGAAGTGTCAGGGCTCCGGAGAGCAGGGCTGCAGCTCCATTCAGCAAAGCACAGAGATCCACCTTTTTTAGGAAGAACATCAGTGTGCTGAACTGTTTAAAGACTTTTACCCCTCAGGAAACTGCAGGAGCTGATTAAACGAGCAGTGTGTAAGATTTAGGGGGATTTAGTGGCGTCCAGCTGAGAGGATTGCAGAATTCAACCAGCTGACAGTTAGACGGTTTGAATTCCTTCAGTGTTCATTGTTCAGGAGGTTTTTACTGTCAGCTAAATTATCCGCAGAGGTCTCTTAGGGTGCTTCACACCTGCCCTGTTTGGTTTGGTTCACTCAAACTGAAGTTTGTTTGCCCCCTAAGTGTGGTTCGTTTGGGCAGTTTTGAATACAGCACTCAGGTGCGCACCAGAACAACTGGACCGAGACCACCTCTTCAAGAATGTCTCGGCCTGGTTACAGAGGGGGGGGGGGGTCCTTCCTCAGGTTGAGAAGTTTAAGTATCTCGGGATCTTGTTCACGAGTGAGGGTAATATGGAGCGGGAGATCTACAGGCGGATTGGGGAGGCGTCAGCAGTGATGCAGGTGCTTAACTGGTCCTTTGTAGTGAAAAGGGAGCTTAGCCAGAAAGCGAAGCTTTCAATTTACCGGTCGATCTACGTTCCAACCCTCACCTATGGTCACTGGCTCTGGGTAGCGACCGAAAGAATGAGATCGTGAGTACAAGCGGCCGAAATGAGTTTCCTCCACAGGGTGGCTGGGCTCAGCCTTAGGGATAGGGCGAGGAGCTCGGACATCCGGGAGGGACTCGGAGTAGAGCTGCTGCTCCTCCACATCGAGAGGAGCCAGTTGAGGTGGTTTGGGCATCTGGTAAGGATGCCTTCCGGACGCCTCCCTTGGGAGGTGTTTCGGGCATGTCCAACCGGGATGAGACCTCGGGGACGCCACAGGACACACTGGAGGGATTACATCACCCGGCTGGCCTGGGAATGCTTCGGGGTTCCCGTGGAAGAGCTGACGGAAGTGGCTGGGGAGAGGACTGTCTGGGCCTCTTTGCTGAGGCTGCTGCCCCTGCGACCCGGACCTGGATAAGCGGAGGACGATGAGTACGAGTACGAGTACGAGAAAACAAATGAACCCGGTGATTTAAACTTGTAAAAACACAGAGTAAAGAAATTATATGTTAAAAAAAATCTGTCTTTCCATACTGCTCATCACGGAGGGGCTGCTAATCACAGTGGCCAACGCATTGTGGGCTGCTGGAGAAACATCGTAGTGCAACATGGTGATCTCCGTAGACGAGGACCTGCTCCCTACGTAGATATAAGCAGCTCATTCTAACGTAAGGAAAACATGGTTCTTATTGAGCCATTAGCCTTGCACCTGCAAATGAATACTCACCTTTTTTCTCTGATAGCTTAAGATCCAGACGTTCAGGAGGTTTTTACCAGGAATCAAATTATCGACAGAGGTCTCTTCTTCTCCAAAACAAACAACCCAGGTGATTTAAACCATTAAAAATAGAGATGTACCGATACCACTTTTTCCTTCCTGATATCGATTCTGATCCCTGAACCTTAGGCATCTGCCGATACCGAGTACCAATCCAATACCAGCGCGTAAAATAAAAATGGATGGGATATGAATTGTTGTATGTCTCAACTCCTAAAATATTTAGAAATAAATACATAATAGTAGAATGAATGCCATAAAACTTATTATTACTATTATTATTATTATTATTATTATTATTATTAGCCAGTGTTGACACAGATCAAGACACAGGTTAAAGTGCAGCCACACAATTTGGTAAAAAAGACATTTTAAAGGCTACAGTAGAATGCTTTTTAAACTCCGCTCCATTTCCGTTTTGTTTGCCTGTAGCGTGCGTATGCGTATTGACGTGAGGCATTACGTGGTATTGGATTGGTCATAGGCTGTACTTGCCAATACCCGATACCACATTTTAGGCAGTATCGGAGGCGTTTCCGATACTGGTATCGCTATCGGTACAACTCTAATTAAAAACACTGAAAAAAGCAGTTTCACGTTACAAATCCGTGTTTCTTCAGTGTTGTCTGGCATGTCAGAGATGGTTGTTAGCCTAGCAAAGGGGCTGCTAACTACAGTGGCTGACACAAAAATGCAAATGTCCCTTTCTAGAACCAGTGTTTGGTTTGTCCGTTCTGGGCACCTGTAGAAACATTGTGGTGCAACATGGCGACCTCCATCGATGAGGACCTGCTCCCTATATAGATATAAACAGCTCATTCTAATGTGATGAAAACACAACAAATCTTATTTTCAGGTGATTACACACTAAAGAAAACATACGTATGTTCCACTTCTGCTAACATATCCCCCTAAATCCTACACACTGAACCTTTAACATGCTTCATGTATTTGGTGACAGTAGCTGGTCTTATTTGTTCAATCCAACCAGTAAATATGTCTGTTACTGATATGGAGTCAGGACAGTGACATCAGATTTTAGCATCGAAAACAAAACCTGAACTGTAAAATGAAAGATTGGCATTATTTCCACTGAAAATAATAATAGGCATTTATTTTAAATTCACCTCAAAGGAAATTGTAACACAACTATTCCTCATATTTGAACTTTGAAGAAAAACGTTATGACTCTACATATCTTCAAAACACTGACCGAAATTGTACATTAGCAGTGTGGCGGTACAGGAAACATCGGAGCACGGTGGGTCCAGAAGAGTGACCGTAATCATGCCTCCCCTTCACGCCAAACCAGGGACAAAAAATTTACACTGAAAACCGCCGCCAGTGGTAAAAAAAACTGTTGAAGTAAGAAAAAAGTGCCCCTGAAAAAAGAGCAACATTAAAAGTATCTGAAGATTGTCATGGACAACCAACCCATAATAATAACTATCAGAAAAATACATTTTTAATGCCTCTATTTTATTTTTCAGTGGAACTTTTTTCAGTGTTTTCATTTGTTTCACAGCCAGTACAACTTTTTTTCCAATACCAGTGTCTCAATGCCAATGTTTCCTTTTTCAGTTCAGGTTTTGTTTTCAATGCCAGATTTTAATGTCACTGTCCTGGCTCCATAATACGGCTGCAAACATTAAAGGCTGGCTGATGAACGCTGCAGCTGATGCCTCTTGACTGAAAAAAGAAAGTCTACAGCTTGATTTAGTGGTGCAGGAGTGGATAATGATTAGGAATTAAATGTTTTGAGTTCAGTTGCTTTGATTTTGATCTTTGTTTTTCTTAAACTGTCCATCATGAGTCTGACAATGTTATAGGAGTGCAATGATAAATCAATGGAGTCCTCTTGAGGGATTTTTTTGTCCACTTGGGAGTAGGATGTAAAAACAAGCTGGAAACACACTCTCTTCGTAGTTCTGTTTTTGGTCTCTACCAACTCCTGAGGGAATTATCTGGCTCTTTAAAAGATAAATGCTCCACTATGTTCAGCTACACTGTAAAATATCTGACGGTACATTTACAGTAAATTACTGGCTACAAGTTGCATTACTTTCACTGTGTCATTTTTACAGTAAATTGTTGTAAAATAACTGCTGAATACTGTGATCTCACAGTAGTTATGCCTGGATATTACTGTGATTTAGCAGTATGCTCCCTAGGGCTGCCCCCTAATAGTCGACCAAATGTTAGTCAACCAGAAAGGTCATTAATCGGCAAGATTTCATTGGTTGCTTGGTTGCAGAAAAAAAAGTGCCTTGTCAAAACAAATCAAAACCTGTATGACTGGACCATGTGGGAATTTAATTTGAAAGGACAGACACAGGAAGTGGCCACGCTCAGCAGTCAGACAGGACTCACGTTACAAACCAATCACAGCAGACAGATATCTTTCCCTTCTTGTGTAAATATTCAGTCTGATAAATACGGAGAAGTTGATCATGTTAGTGCAGGGCCACCCAGAGCTTTACATCTGTCCTACAGACGATAGGCCTACACACTTACAAACAACACCTGGAAGAAGATCAGCTCTGCACTCAGGATTCAGGTCAATTGGCTATACAATGCTTGTTAAGGTTGCTTAGCAACCTCAGACACAACCTGCCACTGCAATCTTGAAAGCTGACACAAAAAAGGCACAACAGTAGCACCCAGCGTCCGACCTCGTGGTGTTCAGGTGGTTAAAGACGCACCATGTGTACGGCCCCTAATTTCCAGGGCTGGTACCTGCGGTTATTCCACAGGCTAGTTAATAACATGTCGGGCAGGAAATCCAAAGTGTGGGATCATTTTGAGAAGGTGAAGGACGAACCCAAGGTGATATGTAAACTCATCTTCATTGGTCGACTACAAACATGACGTATCATCTGAAACATGTCAGTAGCTACATGACCATTAGCCACTTAGCACAATCATTACTGCTTTGCCGACAGCGTCATTAACAGGCGGCTCGCTCAGTGTGTGACGTGAACTTGTAGATAAAATATAGGCCTATATTAATGAAGGTTCATTAGTACGGTTTTGTATTTCTCTGTAATGTAGCACAGTGTTAACAATGTTACTGATATTTTTTCTTTCTCACACCTTCAACTCAAACCATTGTGTTGCCCCGCCCAAATAAATAATTTAATAATTACATTAATATCATAAACATGTGGGCGACTGGGAAAATTCTTAGTCGGGGGCAGCCCTATTTACAGGGTGATAAAAAATGAATATTCCATTAATATTCCTGTTTACATGCAGCTGTGTGTACTCTGTTATGTTGTTTAGCACATCAAATTATGGAAAAGTGGAACGGCAGTCGTGTGCCATTTTGCTTCCTCGCATCAAAATAGGACTTTTTCAAATTTTCCCACCGATGGCGTACTTGTTGGACCGTGCAAACACAGCCTCCCTCTTTCCTTCCCTCAACCACCATCTTG